CTGGTTCATGGCAGAGCGAGGTCATTTCCGGGGCTCTGACTCCCATCTCAGCTCCCTCCGCCCCTCACAGAGATGGGAAACCCTGCTGCTACCACTGGCCTGTAACTTGTGAGTTAGGAGAACCACAGGAGGTCAGAGCCAGGACCTCAGCTGTTCTTGAGCCTGTACAACCTGAGAAGTATGTCCCACTGCATGTGGGCTGAGAGCAGAGAAAGGAGGAAATGAAGGTGGTTCCATCAGAGACTCTGCACCTGTCTTACATTTCCCGCGGAGTCTAGTCCTGATTACAGATGGTGACAATGAGGAGGAAGATAAAAGAATTGGGGAGGGGGGGACAAAAGAAGACGGGAGGCTGGGTCCTAACCCGGAGAAGAGAAGGCCTGAGTCACTTGATTACATCTCGGGCTTAGGAAAGGCTTTCGTACCAGGCTGCTGTTTCTCATGTAAGCTTTGAGTATCTATCTGAACTTTTAAAATTGTGCACATATATTACTTTGATGAAAGATGCATATTAAAGCAGAAAGAGTTCAATTAGACACAAGGACACTGAAGGAAAACAAAGCATTGCCCTGGCAACTAGAGAGGTGAAGATCCCCAGGGCTCAGGGGGCCTGAGAGAGGGGCCGGGGGGAATGAGCCTGTCTCTACACCCAACAGTGTTCCTATGGATCCACCTCTGTCCTTAGCCTTCGTAGGGTCGTGGCCACTTTTGAAATTACAAACCCTAATTCACCCCAGGAAAAATATACACACACATTCATACACACAAAATTATCCATATAAATTTCTGGGTCCACAGACCCCAGGTTAAGAACTCCTGTTCCATGTGCTGATGACCATCCAGACTGTTTTTTTCCAATCCAGACCTTTCTTCTGAAGTTCAAACCCCACATTCAACTGTCTTCTGCAAACCTTCATGGAAATCTCCAAAGTGCCAGGTAACCAAACTTAACTTAACATCTTCCCCTTAAGTCTACTCCATCTCCCATATTCCCTGGGTGGGGACTGGAACCATTATTTACCCCATTGTCCAAGTCCAAGTCCTGCCATCAACCTGGACCAGATCTCCTCAGTGCTGGCTGGCTGCACCTCAGAACCCACTGTGGAGTTTTTTTCTTTTTAATTTTTTCATCTTCATCCGAGGACATTTTTGCATTTATCTCCAGACAGAGCAGGAGGGAGGGAGGGAGGAAGAGAGAGAGAGAGAAACATCGATGTGAAAGGTACATACCGAGTGGCTGCCACCCACACGACCAACCAGGGCCCGGGACAAACTGCAACCGAGGTACACGCCCTTAGCGAGAACTGAACCCGGGTCTCTCTGGTCTGCGGGCCGACGCTCTAGCCGCTGAGCCAAACCGGCCAGGGCCACTGTGGAGTTCTTTTAATCACAGAGCCCTAGACCTCACCTCTGACCTCCTGCATCAAGGCCTCTGGGAGTGGGGTCCCGCCTGGCAAGTCTTAAGGGCGGCTTCACTCCAGTCGCCACATCCTGTGGCTTCTACTTACTACATTCATTTATTTAGAATAGGTAATTCTTAAACGTGATACAAAAATCAAAAGTAAAAAAAGGATAATCAGAGGAGAGTTACCCTGCTACCATCAGCTCTCAGTTATGCTACTGCAACACCCTCCTTAGTGGTCTGCCTGCCTTCAGTCTTTCCTCCTCCAGTCCTTGCTCTGTAGCCAAAGTGAATGTTCTGAAATGCAAATCTGACTACATCATTCTCCTGCCCAAATCAGTCCATTGGGCCCCTCATCTCTCCCAGGATAAAGTGCATACTCCTTAGCAAGAAACACAAGGTCCCACCCCACTCCAGTCTGGCTCCTGCCTGCTTCTAGCCTTATGTCCCCCTCTCCCACCACACCACACAATTTAATCCACAGCAACACTGCAACTCACTAAACTACTAACAGGCCCTCTGCCTGGAATCCGTCATCCCTCTAGGAAGGCTTCCGGGACCATACCTGCTGGATTAGGTGCCCTTCCTCTCAGTGCCCAGACTCCCTCCTGCAATGGACTTACCGCAGCTAATTTTTTTCTTTTCTTTTTAAATTTTTTTTTTCTTTATTGATTTTAGAGAGAGAGGAAGGGACAGGGAGAGAGAGATAGAAACATCGACGAGAGAGAACATCAACTGGCTGCATCCTGCATGTCCCACAACCTGGGCACGTGCCTTGACCGGGAATCGAACCGGTACCCTCTTGGTGGTCGATGCTCAACCACTGAGCCACACCGGCTGGGTGACACAGCTGATTTTTTACAAAGATACCAAGGTAATTCAAAGTGGAAAAGATAATCTTTTCAACAGATGGTGATGGAAAATTGGATATCTATATGGAGGAAAAAATGAACCTTGATCCTTACTTCATACCATACATAAAAATTAATTTGAATGATTCATAGAAATAAACAAAAAACTAAAACTATACAATTTTAGGAGAAAATCTTTGTGACCTCATTTTAAGGGAGGCAAAGATTACTTAAATCTTTGGAAAATTTTGGATAAATTGGACAAGGTCGCAATAAAAAACTTTGGCTTTTTACCATTAAGAAAATAAAAAGAGCCCTGGCCAATTTGGCTCAGCGGTTAGAGCATCGGCCTGCGGTCCAGAGAGACCCGAGTTCGGTTCCCGCTAAGGGCATGTACCTCGGTTGCAGTTTGTCCCCGGCCCTGGCTGGTTGTGCGGGTGGCAGCCACTCAATGTGTCCCTTTCACATTGATGTTTCTCTCTCTCTCTCTTCCCCTCTCTCCCTCCCACTCTATCTGAACAAAAAATTAAAAAATGTCCTCAGGTGAGGATTAAAAAAAAAAAAAGATAAACTGGTAGTAATGTAAAATGGTATAATCACTTCAAAAAAACAATTTGAGAGCTTCCTAAAAAGTTGACAAGACCATAAAACCAAGTCATCTCATCCACTTGTAGTAATTTTTGCCCTACAAGTGAAATGGACATATATATCCACAAAAAGACTTTTTAGGTATGTTCAAGGCGATTCTATTTACCATCTCAAAACCAGAAACAACCCAAATGTCCTCCTTTGGGGTCCTGAGAAGATACCTCCCCACCAGAACAGCTGGGTCTCCCCCAATCCCCACCAATATCCAAATGGATAAACAGCTTATGGTATATGCATAAAATGGACTACTATTCACCAATGATAATGATACACACAACCACATGGATTCTCAAAAGCATTGTACTAAGTGAAAGAAGCCAGGCACAAAAGACCACATCCTGTATGGTTTTATGTATATGAAATTCTAGGTAATACAAATTATAGTCATAGAAATCAGATGAATGGCTATCTGAGACCAGGGAAGAAGGAGGATGGAGAATTAACTGCAAAGGGGCAGAATGGAAACATTCTACATCTTGAATTGGACAGTGGTTAGCCTGGTGTTTTGTCAAGTCATAAAACTGTACACAGTACTTAAAATTTCTGCTATTTACTGAATGTAAATAATATCTCAAAGTAGGGTGTTTTGTTGATGTTGTTGTTAATCCTCACAGAGGGTATTTTTTCCATTGATTTTTTTTAGAGAGTCAAGGGAGGGGGGAGAGGGAGAGAGAGGGAGAGAGAAACATTAATGTGAGAGAGACCTTGATTGGTTGCCTCCTGGCACAGACCTGACCCACCGGTGGGGATCAAACCTGCAATTCAGGTAGGTGCCCTTGATGGAAACTGGAACCTGCAACCCTTTTGTGAGCCAGTCAACTCTCTAATCACTGAACCCACCAGCCAGGACTAAGTAGTTTTTTGGTTTTTTTTTCTTTATTGATTTTTAGAGAGAGAGGAGGTGAGAGGGAGAGAGAGATAGAAACATGGATGAGAGAGAACATCGACTGACCGCCTCCTGCATGCCCCCCACTGGAGATCAGGCCCCGACCTGGGCATGTGCCCTGACTAAGAGTCGAACCAGCAACCTCTTGGTGCATGGGTCAACGCTCAACCACTGAGCCACACCGGTGAAACCAGAGTAGTTTTTTTTAATGTGAGGGTTCCTGTGAAACATGAAAGAAAACATAGGTGAAGAGATTCTGCCCAAGACCTTCCAAAAAACATGGATCTTGGAGGGAAGTTATCCTCCGCCAGGTCAACCTCACCGAGAGGCTTAGTGAAACATTTCCCGCCAGGGGGCAGTGTCCAGTTGGCCGGCCACCACGTTCCGTCCTTCAGTTACCTGGCGAGGTCGGGGCCCGCAGGGATGCGAGAAGCCACGAGCCCCACCGTGGCGCCGAGCTCCGTGCTCCAGCCCGCGGGGTGTGGCGCGAGGTGTGCTCACGCGGCTGAGGAACCAGAACCAGGAGGGGCGGGTGGCGGGCGCGCCCTGCGCTCTTCGCCCATCCCTCCTACTGGCATCTCCCGCCGCCCCCGAGCACCTGGCATCGGAGAAGGGAGGCTGGGATCCCGGGCGCGCAGCCCCGGCTGTCGGGCGACCTTGGGCCAGTCACCGGGCCCCACTCGCGGAGCGCAGAGGGGAGCGGTGCCCGCCGCAGGGCTGTTCCCAGCACGAAAGGCGCGGCCCGCGGCCCTGTTGTAGCAGAACCTGCCTCTCTGGCTCCGCTCCCCAAACCAGGCCCGCGGAGAGACTAGCGGGCGCCTCCCTCCTCGCTGACATTCTTCCACCCCACGAAGCACGTCACCGGGGCGTTAGCAAGTCCCCACCCACAGGGAACTTTTGAATGACAAAAGAAGTATGGCCTAGATTAATTGTTTAATTGTCCGTGGTGCTGAAAAGGCGACTCACCAGCCGTGGCTCGCCAAGGAGGGGTCTGCCGGGGAATGAGCTAGAATGCGGAGGGGGTAAGGCTCAGTCGCTGCCCGGCGTGCCACGGCCTCAGGGACACAGGACCCTCCATAATCTCCCCTACCGCGGCCACAGCCCGCAATCGGTCTGCTGGGGGCGCGTTTGGGCAGCAGCCCGCTGGCTCACTTGTCCCCAGCCTCTCCTCTGCCCCGCCTGGCGCACTGCGTGATTTGCCGAATTCCCTGGAGCCCGCAGAGAGGCGGCGGCGAGGAGATCACACCACCGCGTTCTGGCGCTCTGGTCCGGGCGGCTCCCGAACCCCCACTCCCAAGTGCAGGGACGACGCTGCCTCGCCGCAGGTGCAGCCCGGAGGCAGCTCGGGTGAGTCGGCGGCGGGAGCAGCTGGGGAAGAATTGTTGGAAGTCAAGGGGGGATGGGAGGTGGGATGAGTCGGGGGGAGGTTATGGGGGACAGCAATTGTTTCCATTCCTACCTTGGCTAGCTGCCGAAAGACCAGCAGATGCTAGAGACCGCGGAGGCAGGCAGGGGAGCTATGGACTCCCACATTCTCGCAGGCAACTTTTCTCCAAACTTGGTGGGTGGGTTCGCAGCACTGACTTGCCCCAGTTAGGGGACCCAGGGAAGGGAGGCTGTGGGTATACCTCACTTTAGAGCGCTAGATTGGGACCCAGACAGAGGCCTAGATTTTAATCCTCTCCTGCGATGGGCAGGCATTCTTGGCTGGTTTTGAAACTTTACTTTCCCCATCTATAAAATAGGACTATAATGCTACTTTCCAGGGCCCCTGTTAGGTTGAAACCAAAAGACGCTGCAAAGTGCTGAGCAGGAAGCCTGTGAGAGCAGACAGATTCCTGTTAGTCTAACGGAGAAGAATCTCCACTTCCGGCCTTGGAGCATACACTTCAGGCGAGGCCTGCCCTCCTGTTGGCAGGGAAAACACAGCATTAGAATGTTAGCGGCCACTGGACACCATGGTACTTGAGTTCTGGCTAAGAAAGAATTCAGAGCCAAGACTCAAACTATAAAAGAAAGTTCAGCCCTGGCCTGTTTGGCTCGTTGGTTAGAGCATGTGCCTTGGACCAAAGAGTGGGAGGTTCAGTTGGGGTCAAGGGCAGGTACCGCTCTGTAGTTCTATTCCCTGCCCTTGTTGGGGCCCTGTGGGAGGCAACCAGTCAATGTGAGAAAGACAAATCATTGTTTCTCTCTCTCTTTCCCTCTCTATCTAAAAATCAGTGGAAAAGTATCCTCTGGCCCTGACCAGTTTGGTTCAGGGGTTAGAGCATTGGCCTTCGGACCAAGGAGTCGTGGGTTTGATTCCAGCCAAGGGCATATACCTTGGTTGCCTTTAGTCCCCGGCCCTGGTCAGGTTGTGCGGCAGCCAACCAGTCAATGTGTCCCTCTCGAGTAGATGTTTCTCTCTTTCCCTTTCTCTCCCTCCTACTCTATCTGAAGATAAATAGAAAAAAATATCCTCGGGTGAGGATTTAAAAAAAAGTATCCTTCAGTGAGTATTAAAAAAGAAGAAAAGAAAGGTTATTTAGAAAGTTACAGAGGTAGAAAAGTGAGCTGTAGAAGAAATGGACTGAGGAAACAAGTTACAAAGGCAAAAGAAGGGCCCTTGGAGCTTTGGAGAAAGAGAGAGGCAAGGAAAATAAGCCTGGGTGAAGGGGGTAGGGAAAGGGGCTATGGAGCTTGAGGGTATTTATCTGGAGGCCTCAGGGTAAGATCCCAATTTATCAACTTTCCAAGTGTGTTCTTTCAGGGGGTAAACTATGACATTGCTTGTCTGGTTTTGCTGCTTTTCTGGGCCTGGAGCTGAAACACATGTTATCCCTAGGGGTTAATGCTTAAGGGAGTGGTCATACAAGGGCCTGTTTGGGAGTCTCATGAGGCCACTCCTCCATCCCTTGTTCTACCCCATACTAGTGACATGCCATGGGAGGAAAGGTCAAGGGAGGGTCCCAGCCACATGACCAGCCATTTGAAAAGTCAGGGAGTCTAAACAGCATGAACAGAGTTTCCATTTTGCAAATGGGGACCACGCAGTCATGGATGGTTAAGTTATGAAGGCCAGTGAACAGAGATACCTTACTCTCTTCCACTCTCCCATGTGTTAATTCTCTGTTGCATTCTCTGTTAATCAAAAAATAGACGTGGGTGCGTTTGGCCAGGGTCAGACCTTCCAATGCTGCCAGAGTGGCGCTCCCTGCAGGGTTTACTCCGGGCCCCAGAGTCCAGGTGAGAATGAAATGTGACACCAATCAGGAAAACGGACTCAGAGATACTCTCACCCTCTGCCCCTGGGATGGGCCCCAGAGTCTGGTACAAGATCTTGGCCTTGAGGAACATGGTCCTTGCGTGTTTGGAGTGGGAGAAGACTTGCCTTTTGCTGTTGCACATGGACACCCCCCCCCCCCCCGCCTTCTCCAACACTCCCGCCCCCTGCTGTCTTTAAAACCTGCTCCAAATGCCCTATCCCGAGTAGGAGCCGAACCTTGGGCCCGCCGCCATTTCCAGTAAGCAATGAGCCAGCAGCTTTGTCACGAATTTTAAGTTTGAAGGTAGAGCTATTCCTTGGAAGAGCCACCACGCCGTGGTTGCCATTCTGAACCATACTCGTTTCAGAGCCAACCGTACTGAGTCCCCAGAGCCAACGTGGTGCTGCGCACGCTGGCGCGGGAGAAAGGTGGGGCACCAAGAGCCGCCCCGGTCCTCTGACAGCGAGAAAGACCAGAGTCTGGGCTCACACGCGGCTAGGAGAGCGGTCTCCTTCTGTCCTCTTGCCACATTGCTGTCGCCTCTTCCCCAGCTCCTTCCGCCCCACGCCCGGCGTAGTGGTTTCCTCTTCGCTGTACCCCTGCCACTGAGATGGTCCCTCCCGTGCTGCCTGCCTTCACACATCCCCCGCACACGCGCGTGGGATGCCCCTGTCTGTAGGTGTCAGCACCCACTCCCCTGCCCCACAGCCGAATCCAGGCGGTCCTGGCCGACATCTGTTCATTCTAAAGCCTCCCCCTGCTCTGTACCCCCAGAGACCCACCGCAGCTGAAGGGTTTGGACCCGCGGGGACAGCTCAGTGTGCATAAAAGAGCATGCTCGAATCGACTGGGTTTAGGTGCCTGGTTGCCACGCCCTATGATGCTGGCCCCGCCCCCTGGGCACCGGGGGGGGGGGGGGCGGCCACATGGACCCTTTCTCCACCCACGTTTCCGCCTGAAAAGCCCCAGGATGAGCAGCGGGCGGGTCTGTTTCTGGAGAATTCCCGGACTTGTTAAATTCAATGCTCAGTTATGTTGCCACGTCCTCCGGGGACCTCCAACTCTATTCTTGACCCTGGCCCCGCAGTGGGCCCATCCAGGTGGACTCGAGGGGCTGATGAATCCGAAAAGATCTCAGACCTGGGGGATGTCAGCCAGACAGGGCAGCAAAACAATCAGGCGGCCCCAGGGATCAGTGTACCGCGAAGTGCAAAGCCTGGCCCAGGTCCTGCAGAAATAGAGTTAAGGAGGGCTTCTCCAGGTCCTGCAGTTGAAGCAAAATGAATAATGAAAGAAATCACTTATGTTCGCTTTAAAAAAAAAAAATCATTGCGTCTTCTCAATAGCCCTGAGGCAGGTACTACTGTTATCCTCATTTTACAGATAAATTGGGGTTCAGAGAGATTAAGTTCTCCTTTGCAAAGAAAGCAATGTGAGCAAAGACGCTGAAATGAGAAACAACGCACAACAGAGGAGGGGGCCAAATGCTATTGCATGGTATGGAGAGATGGTATTTTAGCATCCATTTATTTGTTGAACATTTGAATTGTTTCCACTTTTTGAACATTATGAATAATGCTGCTATAAACATTTGTTCGTATAAATTTCTTGTGGACGTGTTTTCATTTCCCGTGGTAAATACCTAGGGAGGGAAGAGCTGGGTCATATGGTTATATGGTAACTATATTTAATTATTTGAGGAGCTACCAAACTTTCCCAAGTTTTGGCCGTACTTTTTTTTTTTACATTCCCACCAGCAATATAGGAGGGTTCTGAACTATCAAAAAATATATATTTTTATTAATCCTCACCCGAGGATATTTTTTCCATTGATTTTTGGAGAGAGTGGAAAGGAGGAAGGGAAGGAGAGAGGGGGAGAGACATTGATGTGAAAGATTGATCAGTTGCCTCCAGCACAAGGCGGAACCTGCAACCTAAGTACATGCTCTTGACCTGGTATTAAACCTAAGACTCTGGATGCTCTAACCACTGAGCCATTCAGGCAGGGCTGAATTCTCCAAATCTTGACCAACATTTGTTGTGATCTGGCTTTTTTTACTCTAGCCATCTAGTGGATGTGACGTGGAATCTCACTGTGGTTTTGATTTGCATGTGCATCTTTTTTTAAGATCAGAGAAATCTTTTCCAGAAGTCCTTCAGCAGACTTTGCATCAAGTCCCATTGGCCAGAATAGTATTAAATATACTTTCTGAAACCAATTGCTGGCCAGGGATATGGGATCACCAGTGAGAACTCAGCTGCTTGTTTGGAGCTGAGGCTGTGGGCTGCCTCCTTTGAAGCACACAGCCCTCCAGAGGAGGGCTAACAGCATAGAAGACGGGCTGATAGTCATTGTCTTTTCTTTTGTTTTCTTTCCATTTATTTAATAATTTATGTATTTATGTTCTTGTGGAAGGGAGGGGCAGTGAGTGTCTGGGCCCTTTGATGGAGTCAAAGGGTGACCATATTTTGGGCCAGGGCCTTAGTACCACAAGGTACTAAGAAGAGCAACAAGGGGCCCAATGACATGGAGTGAGTGGATGAAATCAGTGTGGCAGGACACATGATCAAAGAAAAACAATGGGTGTAGGATGGAGTTTTGCTGGAATGGCATTGCTGGCTGTCCGCCCACTGGGAAGCTCTGGAGGGCCGTGAGGACAAGCACTGGGGGACGGTGCTCATCTCACAGTCTACTCACATGTCCCCCGCCCAGTCAACTGGTAGTAATGTTCTTTCAGCATATGAATAGTCTCCTTGGCAGCCACCTGACACATATGGCCAGAGTTCAGTACAGGAGACAGAAGTCAGCAGAAAAATCACAGACAAAATGCTAAAGGAGTTCATCACCTGCCGGGACCTGCACAGCTAGTCGAACCAGACCAGAGGAGGGGCGACGGAGACTAAGAAAGACACAGAGACATTCTAGAGAGAAAAGCTGCTCTCTGATGAAGAAACAGTGACCCCGAGCCAGCTCAGCAAGTTTATTATGCAGTTGTTCCTCGCCACTTCACACTTCGACTTTCACAGCTTCACTCTATCGCGGTTTTTAATATGAAAAACTGTATATAAATAAAGAATCTTACTTCTCAGAAGTTCATTTAT